AAGCGTTAAAGAATTAGCCAGGCACCCCAAAATAATGAGATTGGCTTAAAAATCATGAGATTAAAAAAAATGCCTGTTGGATTCTTTTTATTTTTCCTCAGGTACTGAGCCTTTAGGGGACACCTGCTTCATATTTTCAAGGTTTTCTCTCTAACTATGAGGGCTGGAAATTTTATTTATTTTTTAGTGAAAGCAAAGATTCTCAAGTAACCACTTGACTCCATTGGCTAGGATGTTAAGAAAAACACTTAAAACTGTGTGGTGCATTAAAAAATAAAAATAAAAGTCACGAGAGGTGGCAAAACTACCACAAAATACCTAATAGGTCATCTAATGACAGTTCTTTGGAAGAGAGGACCAGACTGTTGTTGTGGTATTTAATGACTTGCTCTGGTGCCATCTTGTGGTGCTTTAAAAAATGGTAAATTAATTTAAAGGTTAACGTGTTCATGCTTCTTTGGAGTGTGTACTGTAGTGAGTTATCCAGAAGTTGTGGCTGGCTAGTAAACTCTGAATAGACTAATGAAATTTTAGCTGACACAGGGCTGCTGGGCCTTACATTTTACATACTTTACATGGTTTTAAAGAGGAAATAATGATGATCAAACATTATTTGGTTACATCTTAGATTTCTGGGTGAAAACTACAAAAAATTTGTCAGTCACTCAAACTATAATCAAACAGTATGCTTTAGAGGAGTCTTAGCTACAAAAGTTCAGGAGGGAGGTGGGGCGGGTTCTGTCTCCAGGGAGATTTCTCCAAACTAGGCTGAAATTAAAGACTCCTCTCCAGCTGGAATAATTTCTTTCTTCAATGAACAGTTTTCAGACCTGATGTCTTTGTATTCCGAGGATCATTTTATGTGACATAAGTTACTGATAGCTGATAAGTTGTGCCAAATTCTGTCCTTGTCCCCAGTGTTACTTGTGCTGGGCACAGTCAGAATCAAGGGTTAATCAAAAGGCGGAATTTGGCCTACTGACTTTAAACTATAACAACAATATAACACTCTTGAGTAATTCTTTCCTTTTTCTAAATACAGTAACTCCTCGCTTAATGCTGTAGTTATGCGCCTGAAAAATGCGACTTTAAGCGAAACAATGATAAGCGAATCAAATTTCCCCATAAGAATTAATGTAAATGAGGAGGGCGGGGGTAGGGGTTAGATTCCAGGGATTATTTTTTCGCCAGACAAAAGACATTATATACATATACAGTATAAGTTTTAAGCAATTTAATACTGTACTCAGCAATGATGATTGTGAAGCTTGGTTGAGGTGGTGGAGTCAGAGGGTGGAAGAGGGTTGATTGTCCTGCTGCTCCTCCTGCTGTTCTTGCTGAACTTTCCCAACTCAAAAAAACACATCTAGAGATTGATGTTTTGCTTTCCTTTTTTTTTTCTTGGTAAATTTCTTTATGCCAGTTTGGTGCAGCTTGACTCACAGCTGTGACCAGGTAAGTGAATATCCTCTGGCCCCAGAGCTCTGTTGAGGGTGTGGGCCAACAACACCCCCACTCCTAGGCCTGCAGAGTCCTCCCCATGCAAGCTCTGCGGGTTTGGGCTCGACACGGGAGCCAGGCAGAGCAAGGCCCAAGGCCCCACCCTGACCCACCTCTTCTCACCCCCTCCCCCAAGCGGCCTGCATCCTCACTCCCAGCCTCCCTGCACTCCACGAAACAATTGATTGCAGCGGGCAGGAGGCACGGAGCAGGAGGGGGGAGGTGCTGATCCACGGAGCCTGCCATCGGGTGGGAGGCGGTGGAGGGCGTTATAACTGAACATTGCACAACTTTAAACGAGCATGTTCTCTAATAGAACAGCGACGAAACAACATTAACCGGGATGATTTTAAGTCAGGGAATTACTGTAAAACAGAATTCAGGTGCATAAACTGTAAGCCTGGTGCCCTCTAGTGTCATGTCAGGTGTATTACACATTCTCTGCACAAGAGAGTTACTGTGACCTGCACAATAAGCTGAGATGCATCAAGAGATCATTTGCAAGTTCACTCATGTTTCCACTTTATTTTTGGCTGAATTTTGCATTTAATACCTGTCTATTTGTCAATGTCCATAAGTTGTGAGAGCCTCAGAACAGGGATCATCCCTCCTTGAATGTGAGGGAAGCACCTAATACATTGTGGGCACTATCATAAATAAATAGGAGATAGCAAGAATGTAGAATTTGGTGTAACTGAAGGCGAGTAGGCTCCATTAGCTGTCAATGTCACAGCTACATGAGGGATAATGCTGCAAGGCAGTGAATCTGTGGCAAATCTTGACCATTATGGACATAATCCATATCAGTGCATTACCAACAGAATGATTGAAAGAACTACCAGCGTGACAAGGAGAGGAATAAAAGATGAGAGTTCATAGGAGGGAGCCATTCCAGAGACTGGAGTAGGGGTGATCCTGAAGTGTGAGGATCTCAGTAAGAGGGAAGATGTCCAGCAAGGCATTGGAAAATGGGAATCACAATAAAGTCTCAGACAATGGATGCAGTGGCCTCACAGCTGAGTCAATGTAATAAGGATGGATGAATGAACTTCCCAGCAAAGCCAAAGAAGAACCCAATGTCAGTCCTTAGCTACTCTTCCCAAAGGACTTTTGGTTGAGAGGCTAAGGACAAAGGACGCAAGCATTGTTCATCACACCCAGTCAGTAGTCACAGTAAGGAGTGTACCTGAGAATTTAGAGTCAAGGTGTGGTACAGAACAAGTAGAAAAGGGGGAGTTTGCTAAGGCAGTTGGGAGTCTCTATTAATGGCCTAATTGGCACAAATCTCTCAAGGACTGGAGCAAGTCCTGCTCTGCCAGCGAGCCATGTGAAGTTGCTGGTGGCATACTCTGAATACACACTGTTTTCAAGTAATGAGAGAAGTTATGTTGCTGAGATTCAGGCTTTGGATAGAGAAAAGATTGAGGGTCATATGGCAGCCCTGTGGCACAAAGTTGGGCTGGTGGATTGAGTTTGGATATGGGGTAGCTTCCTCTCCTGAGGAGAGTTAGTGTAATTAACCTACTTGTCCATTACTAGGTATCCTCCCTCCCCTCCCCCAGAATGAGCTGGAGGAGAAGCATCACAGGTTATTCTTGGAGGAACAGAGACCCAGCATCTAGCCTGTAGATAACTCTGTGTTACCCAGAGCAAGCAGGAAAAAGGAGTGTCACAGTTCAGAGCAACAGCACCTGGATTTCCCTTTCGTGGTCCACTAAGGGCACCCACTATTCCCAGCCATCATCTCTCTTGGGCAGAGACCTGTGTCTTTCTCCCCCCAGCTGGGGTTTTTCCAGGCTACACAGTTTCCTGCTCACACTGTGAATTTCCCAGAAAGACAGACTGCATAATCAGACCTGCTTTGCCTATGTTCAGAGGCTATAAATGTCTAATTATCCACAGTTAAGTTACCACACTGATCTTTCTAAGCAAGCAAATATAGTGTAGTGTCAGAATAAGATCCATTAAATTTACAAAGGTGGCAAGGTCAGTTTGTTGGAGTTTTAGATATGGTACATTAGGCCTTAAAGTCTGAGAACAGGTGGGTGGTATTTGCACAATTTCCATTCTGCCAATCCTAGTAAAGAATCTTCTGTTACTTACAAAAAGTATGTGCGTTTATTGCACCAAGGGCTAGAGTCTCTACACAAAGCACACTTCTAAATCTCGAATAAGGACAGGGGTGCCACTCCACGCAGTGACATCCTGAACAGGGGCTGATTAGAAAACTCTACGGTAGAGGGGGAAGCAAATATTATGTAGGGCAAACAAACTGCTTGTGAAGGATTCAGCAAAATGAAAAAAACAGAGGACACAAAAGTTGCAAAATGCTAAAAGTTTATTAATCATCATAACTTTTTTTCCTCTTAAGAAACAAACAAAACCCAAAACAAAATAGAAAAAGAAAACATCCCACAACCAGATACCCACTGACGCTAGAAAATGGGGGCAACATTAATTGTGGAGGAAATGGTCCAATACACTTATTTTTCCCAGAAACAAAATAAATAGCAATGGTACAACATTTTAAAAAAATCTCAGTTTCCTAGGAAAGAATTTATATTACTATTATTATTACTTTTGTTTACAAAAATCCTTCATATACCCCTTTTGGCAAAAATATATTTCTTCTGTAAACAGTTAACCAAAACCAAATAATACAAGAATCCAAATTTTCATACATTTACTATGCTGATGATCTCATGTAAACATAGGATATTCTGCAGCAACCTTGTATGATAGGGTTTCTTTCTTCCTTCCTTTCTTTTCTACAACACCACAACCCTCCCCCCACAGTATCTTTAAAGTTTGAAGTTTGAGAAGATGCAGTTTCTACAACCTAAACTCTCTTTAATGCTAAAACAACAAACAAGCAAACAAACAAAAAGGTAGGAAGGTGAGAGCGATAGTCTGTGTTTTTCCTGGACTTGAATTGTTGACACTGCCTAACTGAACTGGAATCAAAGGGGATTTTAAAAGTTGTCTAATTCAGTGCAATGATTAGTCAGTGTCAGGTGGGTGTGTAATGACCGTGACTAGTGAAAAATTATTAATGACCCAGTGATGTTTGTTCTATGCTTGGCCTTGGGCAGTCAGTATCAGAATCACCACAGGGAAAATTTCAAGACAAAAAGAGACTACGATTTACATCAAGGTCTTTAGTTAGAGTATAGTTCCACTCACCCCACCCTATTGAAAGAAAAGCTGTCAGTCATATAGTACAGCACCGCCGAGAAAAAACAAACCTCAAGATTTCCTAATCCTGCACCTCTCAAGTTAAAAGAAGACACTCAAAGCAATGAGACCCGTTGGTAATGGAAGCTGAAATAATTAGGAAACAGAAATTTCTAGCATGTATACAGGAATTTCATCCATATGTCCAAGATTCTAGCTGCTTTGGATACTTGTTTATTATTAGGAAAAAAAAGTGAAAAGATTTATTTCAGTCTATATTCTACTCTTCCTGGTTTTGGTTCATTTTTCTGGTTCTGCTCCTGGTTCTAGGACTGCCCTTGTTGCTGCTGGATCTGTTCCTGTTGCTGCTGTTCTTGCTCCTGCTGCTGTGCTGGAGTGGTGGGAGGGGTTTGGGGGATGCACTCCGTGCCCGCACAATCGCACTGCTCCACGTGGGTGTATGAGTAATCAGTGGTGCTTCCATCAGGGCAGCTCAGGGTCACCTGTCTTTTGCTGGTCTTGACCTCCTGACAACACTTGCACTTGTGTTGCATCACATTCGCCTCAAGGGAATACCTGATTGGCCACAAAACAAAGCCAACAAGAAAGAAAGATTTAGAAATACTGCAGCAAAAACCAACAACAAAATACACCCCCATTGCTAGATATCACCAAATATGGTGCCTCTGTGTTGGAAGCAATCGGTTTGACATTATTACTGTGACAATACTGTGGTGAAATATAATTTCAGTGGGACTATTTGTGGAAGAAGTTAGTGCTGCATGTAAAAGTGGCAGAATCTTACCCTACATTAATACTGTGCATTATCAACCAAAAATCTCAAAGTACTTTACAAAGGTGGCTAAATATTATTATGTACATTATACAGATGGAGAAACTGAGGTACAGAGGGGCTAAATGACTTAGCCAAGGTCATACATCATCAGTGCACAAATGATGTCCAGGATGAGACTAGCAACCTCATTTTTAAATGGGCAAGAGTTCAAGTCAGGATGTCAGAGGTTAAAGGCATTTGTTGCTATACCACCGAGCTTCCATCTAATAAAAACGGATGGGTCTTAAGGTAATTAACATCTTGTAACATAGCAGATATCAGAAATTCAAGTCAACACAGCAGAAACAAACACCTGCTTGTTAAGTGGAAATGCATAATTTGCTCCCTGCCACCAATATAATGAATGAATGCCAAGAGGACACAGGGACAATCATATACAAGGAGAGTGAGTAATGAGCTTGTAGCCACTTACATTGAAGAAGTATCACAGTTGCCTTCGCAGTATGTTAGTTCGACAGGCACAGAAGAGATGCATTCATTGTGTCTGATGACAGTGGGAGTACTATGCAGTCCACAAACTGGAGTAATAAAGGGAAAATAATTGAAAATATGTTTGTTTACCGTATGCAATTATTGATAGAAAACAGAGAGGTGGAGCTGCCATCAGGTGTTCACCTGTTTTAATTACATATGGCGAAACTGTGGTTCTTGCTGCTTCTGTTTTCAAGGAGGGAAAAAGGCTCCCTCTCCCTTAAGCACTGGTGCACAGCCCAGACTGAATTTTGCCACTGACACCTCTTAAATGTATGGCCAGCTGCCATGATTGGTGTGTCACTCTATCCTTCGAAGAGAACATGTCCAGCTATGCTGGAGAGTGAGCATGGCCCTGTCCCTTCCACATAATGGCTAGTATTTAGCAGTAGGGAGGGAGAAGCATATACTATACATTCTCAAAGGAACTGTACTGTGTGCTGGGAATGCTCTTTTCCCAGCCACTCCCTATTCCCCTCTCTTGCCCCAGCAGAAGACAAACTGCCTGAACTTATTCTACACAGGCATAATGCCTCAGATCACATCAGCCCAGCCAATATATGTGTGCACCTGCCACCCAATGTGGGTAATATGCTTCAAAGCACTATTTAGACCATGTATTTTGTCTTTACACCACAAAATTAGCATGACTTACTTTTACGGGGTAATGGGCATGATTTGCAGCAGCCATCTTCACTTAGTATGATATCAGCCTGGAATGCAGAAATAGGGGGAAATGATTCAGAATTGGAGTGTACGTACCAACCTGGGGGGTTTCCCAGCTTCCCAAGTTTCCTTGGTGCCAGCAAGAGGTCTGCATTGAGATAGATGCTGATTCGAAGCAAGGCTGGGGGAGCTTGAGCTATTCCAGTGAGGGGCAACTTCTGCATCAGTATACCAGTAATAGGCAGCTTCTTTATAGGCTGGCATTGAATGGCGCTCATTTTCTCTTTCTACCCTCAGAATTAAGCATTCTAATATTGTATATACTAACCCAACTTTTAAATACTGCATGCTGCAGATACATACAATTCTGAGTGACTGAAGTTGGAGTGTTGCAAGTAAGGGATTAAACCAGCATTGGTCACATAGTTAATAAAATACTGATCTTCCACCTATGCGGCCCTGGTTCCAGTCCATCCCAAAATGTTGACTGAGTTGGATGGTTTTATTTCAATCAATTCCCCTTCAAAATAATGTACTCTCTTTCACCTTACTTAGTCTCATTGGGTGGGATTTTCAAAATCACCTAAGTGACTTAGGAGCACAAGTCCAATTAACTTTCAATGGAACTTGTGCTCCTGTATCACTTAGCACTTTTGAAAATCCCACTCCTTTTTGTGTGTTCTGTTCTCTACTCCATGCTCTGAAATCCAGCGCAGCATATAACTTTGGCTCAAGTCAAATTCAAAGGGACCATATTTGAATAGGCTATAATTAGAATTGCATCCCACATAATAGGTATAATCTTTGGACACAGTGTCCTGCTGTTTTTGCCTATCCTTCCCCAGGCAACAAACGTGAGAATTAGAGGAATATTTAGTAGTACTTACAGGATTGCAGTCTACTGGGTACGTGGGTGGACAGACTTTCCTTACAGTGACAGGAATAAACTGATCCTCAATTTGTTCACATTTATAGAAGGTACAGTTATCACCAGGCTCATGCCAGACTTTTCCAGCCTGTAAGTAACAGTTGTAAAAAATTAATAGAAATCTACGCATTATATCTTTAAAAAATCCTTTTTTTCATACTATTTACTACAGTGTGATTATTCTGCAAAAAGCTAATTTACAGTCCTTGAGGGCTAAATAAGGGGAGTTCCTGTTGAGGGCTTTTGTAATGTTAGCAGCATAGCTATTATTGTGTAAATAATAAAGCCCAGTTCATTGAAAGTGTGAGGAGGCTATAATTCTACCTTTACACTTTCAAGATCATTTTAATAATGGATTCACCTATCCTTATTCAAGTACTGCTGATTTACAGTCAAGCGATAATTATACAATAAGAATTAGCGATACCAAGAAAAATGTGGGGAGTGTACAGGTTGGTTTGGAAGGGAGACAGATTGGTTGTGAACAGTGTCTTTGTTTTGTCATCTCCAAGTTGTATTAAAGTGTATATACTTGTGAACTTGGTGCTGAAGATGTGTCTGTCTGTAATGACCTATTGTGACCATTGTAAAGATATCAACATACTCCTCCTTTTGAGAAAATACACAGTGGAGCAAACCCTAATACCATTCAAGACAGTGTCAAGATTTTTAGTGACTTCATTGACACCAGGATTTGTCCAGCAATATTATAAAGCTTCCAGTTGTGATTGGCCACATGCAGCCAGATTCTGCCCTCTGATACATGAGAGTGGTTCCCAATGAGAGCAATGAGTGCTGTGTTTTCATACCGAGGGCAAAGCCCGGCCCAGTGTTTTCATCTACATTGCTTTTAACATTGAATTCTGAAAGCTATCATTATTATTGCAGTAGCTCCTAGAAGCCTCAATCAGAATGGAAGCCCCATTGTCCTGGGGACTGGCCAAGCATGGAGTGAGATCTAACATGAGAGAAGACACAGCGAGCGAGTGTGATAAACACAAGGACAGAAAGGGAAAGAAGGAGACTGGAGTTCACAAAACCTTAAAAGCAGTAGTTACCGGAACCACCTGGACTGTGTTATCCTTCATCTTCAGTACACAAGCGTACTGTACACACTTGCCACAGCATTGTCCAGTTTTAATCTTATATTCATAGCCCTGTTTGTAAAGGAATAAAAAAGGAATTGCACTGAGTCAAGGATGCTCGTTTCCTCTCAGGCAGGTTTTTAAATTGTGGGTGATGGGACAAAAAGCAGCACTCACCACTGGGCACTTTGTGTCACATGGAATGGGCTGGCAGGTAACAATGTTTCTCTGACTGTCTGGCTGTACTTCGGCAGAGCAGGTGCACTTTTCACAGGTACCTTTTGGAATGACAGCTCCAGGCTAAACAAAGTCAAAGGAGGAGTATTAATTGTCAATAAAAATAAATTGCTTCATGTACAGATCTCACAGATCGGAAATATTGGGCTAAATTCTTTAACCACACTGGAAAATTTGACCCACTTTATTTAACCAGAGTCCCAGTGTTGGTGATATGAGTACCTTATTTTTCTTGAGGCAAATTCCTTATGCTTATGCAGAGGGTGATGGAATGTTGTTTTTTGATGAAGTAATGGACAATGTTTAACTCAGCCTTTGTGCAAAGAATATACGTTTCAGGCCCCTGCTAGGATTCTGAACCAATTTTTGTTCTATTACATTGTTGTAGTTATTTGTTATTACTGTAGCACCCAGGAGCCCCAGTCATGGGCCAGGACCCCATTGTGCTAGGCGCTGCAAACTAATACGTTTTGTGTTAGATAAGTAACATATATGTACATACCATGTAGAAAGTTCCATTGGTTACACAGCCTGGTATTAGCTCTGTAAGGGGAAAAAACAAAACAGTGTGATGCAAATGTAATTTTTTTAAAAGAAGCAGAAAGACACGAAAAGCTGTCAGTCATTTTGTTGACAAGATATAAGAACAGAATGTAACTTCTTTACACGGTGCTGCTCAGACTGCTTTCTTCAACATCTTGACAGGTATGGATAATTCACAAAAGAAGAGCTTAATACTTACTACATGTGAAGATAGTACAACAATTTCCATTTAATACTTCTGGGATTAACTCGTATCCTGGTTGACAACTGGCTACTGATTCGGGGCACTTGCTAGTGTCACATCCTATGTAATGTAAGACAGAAAACAAGGAGTTCAACATAGTTAAGTACAGAAGATTCTGTACTGTATGAACAAGAACTTCTGAAGTTTCCTCACTCGGCCATAATTAGCACCCTAGCTCTGTGAGCAAGCATGAGGCTGGGATTAGAAAAACCTCTGTAAAGCCTCATTTAAAGTTAATGAGCGTTATTCTTAACCTTAATTCTTAAAACAAATAGTTTAATGTTCTAGCTCAGAAGAGCGGATTAGTGGAAACTTCTCTCTCCAGTCAGAGACAAGTTTGAAAGAGAAAATGTATAGGGATGGAGACTCTGGTGACTTTCAGGAATTCATAAAACCTCTACTCCAGTTTGTAAAAGTTCTAGAGATTTTGTGAAATAGCTTAGAACTTTTGGTGACAGTGGGGTTTTTTTGTGGGATGAGGTGGTTTTAGAGAGATTTTGTTGGTGGTGGTATTATTTACTTATTAGGGGCAGTACAGTTTGTTTTCTTCCAACAGTCAAAATAATTGGACATTTCAAATGACTTTTTTTGGTAGGCATGCTTTCCCTTTGCTGGTGAAATACTTTTTTCTCTCTCTCGGAAATGAAATGTATTTTTTTTTAAAAGGTGCTCCCTTCAGACATCTTGTAAATGCTATATAAAAGGTGTGGGGGTCGTGATGGCACAAGTGGGCACTATATGAAGAAAGTAAATTCCAAATTAAATGTTGAAAAGATGCCTCACAAGTTCCCCACGATATATACAGTATTTTTCACATGGAAGAGCTGAGAGGATTCTTACGGCATTCAGTCTGGACACAGCATGGGTCTTCTCGTGTCAGCGACTGGACAGGAACAAACCCTGGGTCATCACAAGAAACTGGCGGGAGTGGTTTACACGGGCGCTTTGTACACCGCACTGTAACAGTGTACTTGTCACAAACACAGTCCTGGCAATTGCTTTTCCACTGGTCTCCAGGCTGTAAAAAAAAAAAAAAGTTTAGAACCGAGTCAGACTATTTGCACTAGTTAGCTTGTTCAGGGCTAAAGCTATGCACAGCTGCATCAGCATCATTCATGTTTATATAATTTCTAGACTAATCTTTATGAGGGAACCTCAAACTCTGAAAATCCTTAGAAGAGGACCCCATATGTTACTGAAAGTATCTGATCATGACCACCTTTCCTTGCATAAATCTGTTAATTCCTAGAGATTGTGTGAAAGATACAAGAAATAGAATTGAAAGAGCATAGGGAACACCCATGTGTGTTCTGAATGCGTAACAAAATTCTCATATCAGGTACATCAGGTTATAAAATGGGTCTTGTAGAAATTAGATGGAATTAAAGAATTGGGACTGCAAAGTTTGCTATCTATAACTAATTTTTCCTCCATCCAGCCCTTCATTTCTAATAAACTTTGCATGCCAAATTCCAGAAAATAAAGGAAACCAATATGCTGGTCCTCTAGGACTGCTATTTGTCCTTGTATTTTTAGAATGTAATGGAAAGATTAGAAATGGAAGAACCCATTATCTATAATTTAGTAACTCATAAAATTACACAGGGTTCCAGAATTCAGACACTTGCATGTTTTTTTTCCTACAATTTAAGAGGGACGCACATGTTCCAAAAATAAATATTCCTCAAAATCTGTTAGAATGTTTGGCAAACCCCATATTCATAAACCCCCAAATGTTCCTTGAGCTCTACAATCTATATTTGGTACAACATACTGATTGCAATACTCACTAATTTGGGCTGTCCATCTGGTCCTATACAGATACCTGAAAAAAAATGAAAGGATAGATATTAATATTAGTGCTACTGAGGTGATGTGGAATAAATGTGATAGGGTTGGGTCAGGCTACTGCAACCAGAAACAGTCTGCAGATAAATCCTAGAAGAAGAGGGCTGACAGATTCATTCAAACATTGATGCTATTTTCAGATAAATACTGAAAACAACACATCAGAAATACCTTTTTGTCAGTTTGAATGTTTCACAGGTTCATAATACACCGAGGACACACTTTAAAATTAAAATAAACAATAAGGTGGGGGCAGGGAAGATGGTAGAACAAATGTAATGTATTCATTTTTCACTTCAGAATACAATGGCTGTAATTAAGGTCATATAAGTGAAATGAATTCTGAGCCCAGTTATCAGTGCACATTTAGCCACACCAAAATGACCAAACTGGCAATTATGATTATCAGTCTGTGCTGAGAACAGGCAGAGCATTGTTAAAGGAAGAGTGCTACAGGGCAGGATTGAGATGCTTTGGCAGAGTGGTGTATGGGAATCTTGCATGTGTCATAGCAGTAGCAGGTCTGGAATTAGCCAGCATTATTAGTCACTTGCTTTCATAAGCAATATTCACCATATTCAGCATTCTTTATAAAACTATCAAGGGCCCAATCCAACACACATTGAAATCAGTGGAAAGACTCCCATTCATTTCCGTGGACATTGGATCAAGTTCTAGATAAACAACAACAATGCTTATCTCTTATATGGAATTTTCCATCCGGAGATCTCAGCATGCTTCACAAAGGAGGATAACTACTATTATTCCCAATTTGCAGATGGGAGACTAAAGAACTGGAGAGACTTGCCCAGAGTCAGTGGCAGAGATGGGAATTGAACTCAGGCCTTCTGACTCCCAGTCCAGAGCCCTATCTACTCCTAAAGTAAAAAACATCATGCTTACCACATCCAGAGACACAGACATCGCTGTTTGCATTGACGAGAAACTTTCCTTCAGGGCAGAAACATCCTTCAGTTAGGCCAGTGCCATTGTGTTGAACAGCTCTAGAGTGGAAAGAGGCATATGTTAGAGTACAGGTCTCTCACAGTTAAACAGCCAAGTGCAATCCATGCAGGAAGTCACAGCATTTAGATGATGGATACAGGTGAAGAGGGAAAATAATTCAGTTCTTTTAAGAAGCAATAGGAATTACAGGTTAAATTCTTTATTACTTACTAGATCTGGCTGAATAATGATACATTTTATTCATGAAAAATGCCAAAATTCACCAGATGAATTATTCACTATGGATAATAAAGGATCCTAAGTGACAAAAATCCATAAGGACACATTGAACTAAATGGTTTGCTTGTATGTTCTTTCCATACCTTGAATCACAGGTAGCAGGATTAAGAGGCCCACATGGTTTATACACTTTGCCCACTGGACAGTTATATGCTGTATGGGAAGGGGAAAATATAACAAGGTTAAAAAGCTGAGAGATTGCATTTCAGTTTGGGTTATATTTTGTTGAAAGAGGTCCCATGCATCTAAGGTCCCAGGCTTTTAAGTGGTCTTTCCAAACCCTCCCCCCGCCCCGCCCATATTCATTCTGGGTTTCTGTCAATAGAGCACTCAGTGAAGCAGTGAGTAACGATCATGAGCTAGGTTGAGTTGGGATGTAAGACTGTTAGTTTAACCCTTCATTTTGTATCATCATTTTCCACCAGTAACTTTCCAATCTTCTCTTCCCCTCTCTGAAATCTCATGTTACTCTCCTGTAACGAGTAAGCGGGTGCTACAATGAAGCGAAGTAGTAGCTCACCCTTTCGCAAAACACAGCTGGCCAGATTCTTAGTCTCAGTGATACCTGTGTAAATCCACAATAGTTTCAATTGCTTCACTGAAGCTACACTGGATTTACATTGGTCTGAGATGAGAATCTGACCTTTACAGTATCACCTCTGTGATGCTCCATGCTGACAACCATTTGTGAATTAGGTATCCAAAGTTTGTTCCAAATCTGGATCATCTGAATTAATGTTGCCATATTCTATCCACTAAACCACTGAGACAGACCTGCTCATGTTTTTATAGTGATATTAAATACATTGAGTAAGTGTGAGATGCAGGACCAACTTATTGAACAAGCCTCCAGTTACTATTTCATTAACACCTGTATTTGTTAATGCTGCAGTACTTACGGCATTTGCCCTTGGTCTCTCCTCTCCAGTCAATACAAACACCTCTAGTGGCACACAGAGTGGCATATATCTCCAAGCCGGAACACTGCATGGATGTATTGGTCATGTGACATGCATCAAAGACACAGCCCTTGTAAAAATCTTGTGGTGGTATCACCTTGTGGCATTCTTCAAAGACTCTTTAAACACAACAGAGAAGAAAAAAGTTTCATTTCCCACTGTTGCTATACAAAATCTATTCTTGTCAAAGAGGAACATCACAGTGTGAGCATATTGTCCTTCTCCTTTGAGATGAGTTTCTGACTGAAATTTAATGTGGGAGAAAGACTCCAGAATGGAAAGGCTGAGAAGTTTGAAACCATCATGTCGAACATTTTTTATGTACAATGTACACCCATTTTAGATTTTTTTTATGGGGAAAGGAGTCTGTCTTTCTGTCTAAGTTTTCATAAACCAAACACATCAGGCATCTTACAAATGTAAAGTGATGTTACTGTTTGAAAAATATAACTTGGTGTGGATAGATATACCATGGAAAACATGTGGGAGATAGATGATTTTGTGGTTAAAGCACATAACTGCAAGCCAGAAGATTTGGGTTTTATTACTTGCCAGGCCCCTGACTTGCTGATATTCTCCATACCCTCTCCTCAGAGAGCTGTGGAATCATCATGGAGATCTCCTTGGTGTAAACAGGTATGTGATTTCCACTTGCAGAGGACTTCTATTGCATTTGCCCCCCTCTGCAGCTGTCACACAACTGTTTGGCCTTCAGATATGTGCATAAAGCCACCCTAGATTTGGCCCTGTATTTGTTGATAAGGGCTTGATTGGGATATAATTCTTATCTCCATCATTTTATAAGATTTTTGGATACTTTTGCTTAGTTAAGGAAGAGTAAATTAATTCATTTTTGTATCTTACTCGCTCAAAATTATCTTGCAAAGAGCAGACGGAGGACAGCTGGGAGCTGGAGTGGGGGTGCTGGGTCCTGGTGTTGGTGTTCCTACACAGTATCGCTTCTTGACATCGTCAACCTTCCAGTGGGGAGCCATTTGGGTACAAGAAGGGCTGATCTTACCACTTGGCAAGCGGCAGTCATCGATTTTGGTGTTTGTGCATGTACCTGGAAGACCAAACATAACCAGATCAGAAGGGTGTGAGCCACTGACAAAGTGCATAACCCATTATGTTAATACCAAATTCAAAACTGGTATGCATAGTGAGTGGATCAAACTCCTTGTAAGTTTAGATTGCTTGATACTCAAAGTGCATCATTTCCTTTGAGTTTACTTAATAATTGCTTATGTAAGATTAAAATTATGAGACAAAAATCAGGTCATTGAAATATTAAGCATTTGAACCTATTTGTTAGAAGCAGATTGAAGTAATATAAAAAAGTAACAATGAATGAGACCCAAATTCTCCCTAAATCCATTTACTTTACATTTGAGGAATTTCAGTCTATGGTAAGCTTGAATAACTATCTGGCTCAGGGAATAAACATAGGGAGAGTGAGAAGAGGAGGATTAATGCATCTATCTTACCACACTGTCCTTCAGTGTTATTGCCAAATTTGCTGAATGGGAGTTTCACTGAGAAGATCAACCCGCTGAAGGTGATGGTAGCTCCAATCTCAGGTATTTCAACAACCATGTTGATGCCAAGCATGTAAATAGAAATGCCATCTTTCTGGAAGCCTGGGTTGACAACCGTTTTATTTAAGATAATCTGCATATGGGGTTAAAAATGATGTCATTGCAGGAGTCACTTTTGTTAGACACATATTTTAAAATAATTTGTTTACTAATCTTTATAATCATGTCATTTCATGATGACATATCCCATGTTCCTCATATCCCACACCAGGTTTTTATAATAATAACTTGTATTGGTTTTTTTTCTTTTCAATGCTGCTTTACAGTCCCCGAGTGACTTAGTTGTGGGACTAATTATCAGAGTGGTCCTGTTCAATTAGCATGGTTATGCAATTGGCCATATTCCATCCGGGCAGGCTCTATGCTAATACACATTATTTTAAGGCCAAATATAATGAGTGAAAATATAATTTGCGTCTTTTTGTAGGCATTTTTCCTTACAGAAAATGACTAGGCTGTAATTTTTTAAGCGGCAGCAAGATTCATGCCGTTATTCTGTTATAATCCTGTCATCATTGTATAGTCACAATGGACCAAACCATGAGGGGTGTCTAGCACAGGGAGAGCCCCTGGAACTCATATTGAAATACACATTTCACCCATCATTTTTATATGATGACTTGTTTCCTCTTTAAATTAAGCTGTTACTCACATTTGCCACATACAAATTCCAGGTGCTAACAAAAGTGTGGACCTTTGGTTGGTGATATTGTTCTTCAGGAATTATTTCTATGTTAGGAACTTAACTCCTTTCTCATTTGATTGGGATGGAGGAGGGAGAGTTGCAGATCCCTCAAGTACCATTCTGTTTGGACTGGGAATCACTGGGCTACATTTTACAATATGCCCTATTCCAGTGGTTCTCAACCAGGGGTATGGATACTCCTGGGGGTACTCAGAGATCTTCCAGGTGGTACATCAGCTCATCTAGATATTTGCCTAGTTTTACAACAGGCTACATAAAAAGCACTAGCAAAGTTAGTACAAACTAAAATTTCTTAGGCAATGATTTGTTTATATTGCTCTGTATACAATACATTGAAATGTAAGTACCATATTTATATCCCAATAGATTTATTTTATAATTCTATGGTAAAAATGAGAACGTATTTTTATGTCTGATTTTGTACGTTTTTAAGTGAGGTGAAACTTGTGGGTACACAAGACAAACCAGACTCTTGAAAGGGGTACAGTCATCTGGAAAGGTTGAGAAACACTGCCCTATCCTGTCCCTGACAGTGGCTTATGAGTGCTTGGCACAGCTCTGTGTGTGTGTGTGGGGGAGGAACACACACACCTTTGCATCTCCCCTCCCACCATCCTGAGCCATCTGAATGCCAGGTCAGTCCCCAAAATGAAATAGGGCAGCATGAGGCCACTTCTAATTTTCACCAACTGCCAACAGCAATTTAGGATTACTGGGGTAAATGGATGCTCTAGTTCATCCCCTTCTCTTCAATTACATCTTCTGTGCCAGCAAATAGGAATGGAGTGGAGAAGGAGCTATTGGGGGGGCTTTATGCTCATCAAAGATCTCCATACTCAGGGGGAGATCCCCATTTGGCCAACTAACGTGAAGTGATTGCTGGTTTGCACCATCAGAGGAGAATTGGTCTTCTGGTGTATATCTGTGCCCCTTTGTATTGATTTTTTGCACACAATATATGAGTTTGCATCAGACAGAAGTCCCCCAAGAGCAATGCATTTCCACACCAGCCTTTACAAAAGACTGTGTCTTAATCAGATCCAAAAACAGAATACCTTGCTTCATTCACCTGCCTCAATAACATATTCCACGGGTTTGTGTCTCGTGCTAGAACTCATAATCTAATCTTACATAAGAATATAAGAATGGCCCTACTGGGTCAGACCAAAGGTCCATCTAGCCCAGTATCCTGTCTTCTGACAGTGGCCAATGCCAGGTGCCCCAGAGGGAATCAGCAGAACAGGTAATCATCAAGTGATCCATCCCCTGTCACTCATTCCCAGCTTCTGGCAAACAGAGGCTAGGGACACCATTCCTGCCCATCCTGGCTAATAGACCATTGATGGTCTTGTATTCCATGAATTTATCTAGTTCTTTTTTGAACCCTGTTATGGTCTTCGCCTTCGGTTGACTGTGCGTTGTGTGAAGAAATACTTCCTTTTATTTGTTTTAAACCTGCTGCCTATTAATTTCATTTGGTGACTTTACTCTTCTACTTTACAATACCACATGTTCCCTAGTTTTTGAACTTCCTCACTCTTGGGAATTTAACTCTGACAAATGCATCCACCTCTTTCATAATTTTCTATTTTTCCAGTAAGGATAGCTCTAGTTCTCTAAACCTTCTATTATATGTTTGCTTCTTGAGAATTGGCATAATATTTTTTATCCTATGATGCCCTCTGCCTAAGCATTTCTGTGCTATAATAAACACAAATGCCCTCAATATTTCACATGAGGTTCAGACAAATGCCTGTACACTTTATTTCTGTTTTGCTGAAATAGGAAACTTAATAGGAACACTGCAAAAACGTTAAAGAACTATATTTTACCTTATTAGCCATCACTCCATTATAGAGTTCACGCGTCAGCACTACCACTGTGTACTTGTAGTAAACAATAATGGACTGAGGACAGGAAAGTCCATCTTCCGCATCACAGAAGTAATTGTCAATGTCAACACGGAAGTTGTCATATTTAGGGGTAATCTGCTTCACCAGAGTATATGTGCAGTTGTCAAGGAATGTGTAATAGGTTCCATCGAATGTAATGTAGTGAGGGTCACCCCAGCCACTACAGACACCTGGTAAAGAGGAAAAATGTAGATGCTAAGACTAAAATAGGTTTACAAGAAAGAATTTAGAAAGTTAAGCCAGTAACACAACCTTCTAGATAGCCCTGGAACCATGAAAAACAAATCCCCATATATTCTATTTACGTGTTTTGTGTATTTTCAGTGATGTTCTTCCTTAATTTAGTTGTCACTTACATTCACATTCATAGTGGTAACAGCAGCCATCCTCACTGAAGACCTCTACTGGTGGGTATCCGTTGGCGCAGGTAATTTTCTTTACAGGTGGGCATTTCACTTTCTGTATAACAACTTTGTTATTTCCCTCGCAAGTTGCAGTGGTACAGTTGGATATCTTCCATGTTTCACCCATCTGTTTAAAAAAAAAAAAGGAATTGGTATCACAAGAGCTTACAATTAGATTTGAGCTTTATACAGATTTTTAGTTCCAAAATGTTATGATGCTTGCAGTATTTGGGGGGTTATGTTTCTTATGATATATTTCTTCTCTCTAATGTTTGACATCCATGTTTTGGAAATTTTGGTGACAGTTATTGTGCAGTACATTTTACACTACAAATAGATGAGCAGTAGTGGCACCGTTTTTGCTGAAACCTTCTAAAACAATTCAACCCAAAGCAGCTAATCAAGGAAAATGTTGAAACTTATAAAAACTGAAAACAGACAGTTATAATGGAAAGGGTTATGCAGCCTTGTCTACAGGCATTTGTTCTGCTCTGCCTTATGATAATATTCCTGCTACTTTTGTGTCTATGGCAAAAGAAAACCTTAAGATTAAACCCTGGCAGTATGGTGCTCTGTGGCAATGTACCATCTGGTGTTCCAAAGCATAGTCAGGTTTCTTGGACCCGCAGTACCACGGGAATTCTGAGGAGGGCAGGGGAAGCTCTGTGGCAAGGGGAGCGGAGTTCGTGATCCTACACATTTCCTCACAGAATCCTTGTAGATGACACCAGTGCACCGGTGCATGCACAGAACTTCCATTATTTTTCATATGTGAGAAAAGATTCTGTTGAGACTCAGCCAGTGTAAACTTAAATGAGCAACAAAGCCTGGAGATCTCCACTGCTTTATACATCAGAAACAGAGTTGTCAGTCAGGAGAGGAGCAACCCACGTTAGCATGAGAGCTCTCTCCCCAATGATGATCAGAGTGTGGGGGGGGGTGACATCCTCCCCGAAACTCCCACCTATACCAAGGCTGCAGAGGTAATTTTTGAAGGTGTGTTTTAACCCAGAGGAATCATATTGCCCCTTTGCCTTTGCAACGTGTATGATACTACAGCCCAAAGGCCATCATGAGAAAGAGTGAGAGCTTGGGTTATGCAAAGGGATGTTGGTCAAGGCACAAGGGAGATTACCACACCGTAAGTATCTCTGTGGGTTACAATGTAGAGTAGGCTCAAAGACACAGAGTTTTCCACATTTCTCAGTCCAGTGTAGAGCTGTCATACCCAGGAGTAAGAGGCATTCCCATCTCTTACTCCAGTGTACAGAAGGGGCAAGATTGGCCATTACAGAATGGAGAGAAGAAATAGCTATCCACTTCATTTGCAATAAAAATATTTTGGAAGATTAATTCTCTTTGAAATTTGCAGATACCAGGTTGCACAAATTAACCTGTAATATTCAGACTAACATACAAGAGTTTTATACCAATTTTGCACATTGTCTACCACAAGAATTGTTTTAAAAAAATGTGGTCTTTCAGTTTTAAATAATTTATAATGTTCTTTCCTGCGAGTCCCATTATTATTAAAGGTATTTTCAAGGCTGTACAAGATAAGAGATCGATACCTTTCTGGGAGGTTTAGCATCAGGACACTCAATTTTAGTGGTTGAACTAACTGTTGTAGTGGGAGTCGTAGTTGGTATAGATGTTGAAGTTGTAGGTGTAGTTGTTGTTGCTGTTGCTGGAGTTGTTGATTTACATGGTCCCTTAAATCGCTCCACTGAACATGTTTTACTACAAATGGCATAAAAATTACATCCATCCTTGTCTATTTCGTTGTAAATCATTTCACCTATAAAAAACAACCATTAGAATACACAAAATACAAAGAGAAAAAATAAAAAAATCATTGAAAAAATCTGAATTAGTTAAATTTGACTATGTAAAATTTTAATATAATTACAATCTGTACTTTAATTAAAATACCCACTCAAAAACGATGTAAAAATCTGTTTTAAATATATTCTAATGGATTGTTAAAGACTTACCAGATGCATAAACAGCGTCCTCAATTTGGCAAAAGCAGTGAGTAGTTGTCATGGTTACTTCTGTTGTTCCTGTTTGTGTACTTGAGATAGTTGGAGTGGTTACTCGTGTGGGCGTTGTTGGCAAAATTGAGGTTGTAACAGGACAATTTACGTTTTCTTCACAGCACAAAACACGTATCTGATAGTTGAAACACATTTTAAATTTGCCGATTTGATCCTCATTTTTGCACACCAGACCAAAATTGGCATCGCACTGCACAACTTGACCGATCTGGTCGATGCTTATGTCCGGGTGGTTTTCTGCCCTACACTCAATATTTGCAGGCTTTCC